GCCGCGGGGGCCCGGGGGGCGGTGGCCTGCTGGCCGCGGCCTGGGGTCAAGTGTCCTTTGGCGGCTTCCTAGAAATCAATGAGGTCAAGGGCAGACGCAGGGTGGGAATGGGTGTCCCTAGGGAGTTCCGGGGAGACAGAAGCTGCCAGTGTTCTTTGACTGGCGGCGGCTCGACTGGTGGGGGTCGGAGAAAGTGGGCTGCCGTGTGGCTGTGTAGGTGATGGAACATTGGAAACACACGCAAACTTTTTAAACTTCGCATTTTAGAGACCTTGGCGTTGGCGTTCATTCATTCGATTTGAAACGCCCGTGGAGCGCCTGCTCTGCCTGGTCCTCTGGTGCTGGGCGTTGCGGGGATGCGGGACGGAGGCAGGGATTTACCGCCTGTAGTGCGGGTCCCAGGTTTTTAATCCAAAGGCGTTGAAGCCTTCAAAGAGAGGGGTTCTTGGCGTTTCCCCAAAGACTGAGTTGTACCTAGTAGATGACCTGACCATCGATGGCCTGAGCTGCGGATGAACTCAGGCCTGTTGGCATCCATGCCATGTCAACATCGTTTAGGTGTGAAAATTAAGGTACTGTCTTAAGCATTGGATGGAATCCGAATGTTACAGGCCCGATTCTGTTACTTAATTGCCCCAAATCCCAGATTTAAATGGAAGCAGAGTTATTTTTTAAGTGTGTGTGTGTGTGTGTGTCTGTGAGTGTGTGTGGGACTCAGTCTGTCAGTCTGTGCTTTTAAAGCACACCTCACTTTAAGGTAGAGAGTGCCCAGACTGTAATGAATAGAGTGTTTTAAGTGAAGAATGTGTGGTGGCACTGATACAGTCATGGTTCCTTGACCAGTGACTATCTGCTAACTGTTTTTGCAGTCCCTTTGGCTGCTTGCTTATGAAATTGACCCCAACATCCTAAGAAGCCCATTCCTGTAGTTCAGGGGGGTTTGTAGGGGGGGAGGGAATAAATAAATCCTGCTGGAATGGGCAAGAGGACAAAGTAAGGCAGACCTGAGTGTGTTCCTGGTTTGCCCTTCCCTAGGTGGGTGACCCTTGGCAGACTAACTGGTATAGGTCTTTTGGTTTTTTTTCTCCACATCTGGAACATCAGGATAGGCCTCACCTTGTGCAGCGAGAAGAGAATCACTCATTCATTCACATGGCAGTAGCTC